AAAAGGGGTTTCCGTATTAGAGGGGGGTCTCGAATTGGAGGGCAGACCGTAGTTATTCATCCTATCTGTTGACTGCTGATGTGTGGTTAAACGCGTACTGCAGGAGCACAAATCACATACGCACAGCTAAATGTAAATACGCACTTAGTATACTGATCATATCACTATAGCAACCGATTACTGCTAAACAGTAATTGGTTAATTACAACTAATACTGTATACATTAAAAGACTGCGTTTAACTTATAAAGCAATTAGTAGAGCATGCATTGTACACTAGCGGAAATTAATTATACTTAGGTTACATTTAATGCATTAGCAAAATTTCAGAAATTCCTTTCTTCGTACTATAATGTTCCTATAGTGTACTATGCGGAGCTCTACTAATTTCTTAGTATTAGTTTGGAACATGGATTATCAAAATCCCGACAACCGACATTATAGTGGATTTAAGCTTACAACGTTCGGAGATATGTTAGATCACTGAAGACACCTTTTCTTACACCAGATATCTCGTTAGTAGTCAAATGCCTTAAAAGAAAAAACAAAAAACGAGAAAAATTACCGATATATCAATGAGTATATTATAGGTTTTCCAGTAATTGCCAATAACTCAGAATACTACAGTAGAAATGTAACGTGGTGGTAAAGATTTCTGCCTTCTAATTCCATGGTGCTGTGTTTTATTCGTAACATTAGGATTTTTCAAAGAAAACAACTCAACTCTTACATTTATAAAGTTCTGTTTCCTTAAATTATAAGGCAGTGTACTCATTTAAATATAGCTAAATATGTTAAATATAAATTTAGCATAGGTATTATATTTAAATTCCAAGCATTGGTTTAATTGGAAAGTCTTAAGTAAAACATTTTAAAGTTTATATGTATGTATTTTATTTTCTTGTGAATGGTCTTAGTTATAATAATAATTACTAATATACAGACTAAAATTTATATTATGGCCACAATTTGGTCATGGTCATATTGCAACTCATTCTTTAAAATATGAACAACAATGCATTCTTCTTTTATTAATTGCACTCTGATCAAAAACAAACTTAGTATTATGTCCTATTATGCCCTTCCAACAGCTAGGGAACTAATTAAATATGCATCATTGTCTTCTGTGATTGGTTGTTCACTTTTCAATGCTTGGTGGATAATATAATGCACTCTTCCGGATTTGTTTTCTTTGGTGGATGGATGTAATGCGTAACTCTCATATTAATTTCATATTTATAAACATTTTTTGGGGTATATGATCAATTCACAAGATAAATTAAATCCATAGAATGCCCCTAAGCCAAAAATCTCAAAATTCTCAACAATGGATATAATGCG